ATCAAAGGTAGGCGAAAACCTTGATAAATAAGTGGGTAGTTTTAACCTAGATCGGCTCGCTGATTTGTGGATCTTGCAATCTCGCTGACGGGGAGAGGAGAGGAGAGGGGAAGCGAGGAGAGGGGGAGATGCGGGGGTTATGGGGGTGGAACGGAATGAATGCGTATGGGATTTCGGGGTGGGGGGAGGGGAGGAGGAGAGGGGAGAATTGGATATGGAGATGGATGGATGGATGTGGTTATGGATATGGATGTGTATGTGTATGTTTTGAGGGTATGATGAGAGGTCGAGATTTGGAGATGGGAGATATGGTATATAGGTTTGTTGGCTAGCTTTTGAAGAATTAGATGGCTTTGTGTTCTTTGGTTGGGACTTTGAGAATTTGAGAATGGAAATTTGGGTGGAGAGAGCTAGATGAGAGGTATAATGGTGTAATGGTGTAATTGTTTGTAGAATGAAGTATGGGGTGAGCGTGAGTTTCTGGGAACGAGATGAGGAATTCGAATTATGATTAATGGTAAGATGGATACGGGAGGTATGAATAATTAGATAGAAGTCTGTATAGCAGGTAAGTGTAGGTATACCTAGTAAATATCTTCTCAGAAAGCCAAGAGGAGAGTCCCCATATCTCTACTCCCGTGTATCGTAAGAATACATTAGTGCGTGTAATCGACAGAGACGTGGAGAGATTTGAATGGATGCATGGATGCATGGTTAGCTGGGAAGATTAAGTAGATCTATTCTGTGATCGCTGGTCATCCAGGAAGTGAGAGTGACTGAGTTGGAGATAATAAACCACTGATTTTCATGGATTTAATTCGTGAATTGGTGTGAGCGAGATGATTGGGAATGATTATTACCCCTCAGGAGTCGCCGGATGAGGGGGAAAAGTGGTGCTTGAAGCATATTCCTCCAGACCAGACTAATTTCCCTACAAAACCGAGAGGAGAGGAGTTATCTCTTGCTTTTGAAATCTGGCTTGGTTAACATATGTCGTGTATGTTATAGATTTGGTTTAGTTAGAGGTCAATCACACGGGAGGGAAATTATCCATTTTTATTATTTGATGGGGAAGGAATTCCCCACTGCTGTGAGAGGAGGGGCTGAGAGCAAGAAAAAAGAGATCTAGAAGCTGTTGGTTTTGAAGCCGGGGAGTGTCGTTGTGATATCATTATGGATATGGTTGTAGTGGGTAGTAGAGTTGAGTTCTATAAATGGATAGATATAAATTTTACATAAAATCATAAAACTTCCTAACCAGAAATTATATAACCTTACTACACTTAGATATTTATGGAAAGATAGTTCTTAGGTGATACAGTAGTAAGGGGCCAAATGTAAGGTCGCTAGACTTATTCGGTACTAGTAGGATCCTCCCCCGCATCCATCCATATTAAGATCTCACCTACTTTTTAACCTTGCTGTAAATCATTATTGCGCATCTTTTTTCTCCTCCTTTCTAGCCTTATAATCTTACATCAGTCCACTCTATGTGTAACATAGTATTATCCTTCATCATCATCAACATCAACATCACCGTCGTTATTTATTTAGCCGCCAAATATCCACGTACATAAGAAACCCGCACTAAATCCTGCTAATTTAACCTCAATATTAACCCAATCTCGTATCCCCAGTGGAAGCTTACAGAATAATCTCATTCATAGCTATATATCTTTATCCAAGTATACCTGTAACGGGCCTTCCGAATGTATAATTCCTTCCGACTTGGCTAGCGATTAACCGCTAATTAGCGGCTATATCCACTTTTGATCCTGGCGGCAGTGCAAAGACAGCGAAGGATGGCGATTATCCGTGAGTTGGTTAGAATGTTGGCTGGGGTTTTACCTTTAGTTCTTATGGATTTACATTCGTATGGGAGAGCGCTACGTAATTATCAATGTGTGATTGGAGATTCTCGCTTGAGATTGACATTGATGTTTGGTGCGTGAGTAACACGTTTCTCGCTTATTAACCCTTTTCAGTAAGACGCTTAGGGATATGTGTCAAGGAAATAGAAATAAGCATAGTAAGCCGCAGTAGAGTTACTGAAGATCAAAAATAAAGAAGTTTTTTACCCTTCCGGTACATGACTTGGCGCGTCAGGTCCTGCAATGATGTTTGTTCATTCAGGAAGCGCCAAGCGAAGGAGCTCGGCTTAGATCATCGTGGTGATTACCCCATTGTAGGGTGTGTACGTCAAAGTCGGGAATGTAGATCATCTAACGGATGGATTTCCTGGTCGCAAGATCTGCTGAGCTGAGTTGAGCTGAGCTGGGTAGAATGAAGATATTGGAGAACAATACTTGTTGAGAGACATGTAAAGACGATTTAGGAAATTCTGTACGTAGATATCAGTTTCATGATCCTGATGGGATGACCGCCGAGTCTTTGTTACGAAATGAATGATAGAATATAGGGTGATGAGATGATGATGTGTTACAGGACTGGGGAAAATTCAAAGATATAAAGTATCGAGATGATACCTCGAGAATTACTTTCTACATCATCAACATTCACACTCACACAATCACAACAACAAACACTCAACAACCAAATAACCAAATAACCAAATACCAATCCACAACAACCCCTCCAAAAATCAATCAAAATGCAATTCTTCACTCTCCCAATCATTACCCTCCTCTTCACCAGCGTCCTCGCCATCCCCACCGATCTCGAATCTCGTGATCTCGAAGCCCGCGTTAATTGTAAGAACATTCTTCCAGCCTGTCAAGGAGGAACTGTTTCTGGTCAAACGAACTGTCGATGCTCGGGACAGGTTGGAACTTGTGATGTCATGAACTGTCCTGGTGGCGGTTCTAAGACTGTGGTAAGTTTTTTGATTTTTTTTTTTTTTTTTTTTTTTACTTTTGAGCTGGGTATTGGGATTCGGAATTGGTGGAGAAGATTTACGGGAAAATGAGTGGATGAATCTTTGCTAATGAATTGTTTTCTATAGATGGTTTGTGGCCAGAGTGGTACTGGATGTGTTTGGATCTAAGCTGGCCATGGGTGCCGGTGCCTTTTGAGGGGACTCTTGGTTCTCGAGGCTTTATGGGGGAGGGTCTCGTGTTAGGTCTCCCTACCTACCTATATGAAGTCTCTTCGATTATTTTCCTCTTAGGACGCGAAGAGATTAGATCCGAGTCCCTCTCCAGCAGTGTCTTCTGAGATTTAGGAGGAAATGACGAGTATACGCCTTGGGGGAATTGATGGAGGAGCATGGATAGAGTGGATAAACTGTATCTCGATATCTTCCTGTTTTGTTTTCGTGTTTGGATTTGATTTGATTTGCTTGGACTGGATTGGACTTTATGTACTGGATATACATAGTCGCTCTTGTTAGAAAAATATGAGATTGCCTGGGCCCGGGTATTTCTTTATAACTTTTTACTGCTTTTGTTCGTTTTTTTCTTGTGATTGATTGGTGCTTGTGGGTGTGATTTGGATTTGGATTTGGATTGATTGTTGATTTGTGGATTGAGGTGGAGAGTGAGTTAATTTTCACTTGGGGATTTTATGATGGAATTTGAAGTGGGTTTTGAAATTGGTTGATGGAGGAGGAATGGTACTTGTGGACTTGTGTTGATGGTGAAATGATTTTTGAACTCGTATGGATGTGGTAATAACAGTACGGATTACTACGATGAGATGTACCGGTATGCATGTGGGACATGGGATGGGAGTTTAAAATTATTATATGAAAAAATCAACGGGAAATGAAGTAATCATGTAAAGGGACAGGAGGGACAGGAGGGACAGGGAAAACCTTCAATAATTGGTGGAGCCTAGGTCACGTAAATATTGTTTCGGAATTCGTAGAAATCAATTTGGAGATAATATTAATAAGGGGTGGAGAGGGAGACCAAAGTATAACTGTTAGGATATTAGATCATGAGAGGAGATAGATTACGGTGTTTGGAAAGAAGCACAAGGGATTCGAAGAGAGGTTGTTCTCATATGTACAAATCATGTATTTATTGAGGAATTCAAATATCTAGTGCTGATACTGATCGGATAAGAAAAAATAAGATACAATTTGCCTCTCATTTACCACAGAACATAGCAGATGTCAGAAGAAGCGCTCATCACAAGGAAAAAAACACTCTCAAGCTATTTTTCGACCCAACGCACTCTAAGTCGTATCCCTCAAACTCGCCCGCTACCTTCCATCTCCTCCACCTCTCCCATACGAGCTGTTTCAAGGATCTTCCAGATCCTCCTTCTATTGCGTAAACTTAGTGGGTATATCCAAGCTTTTTGCTTTCTCCTCCTGAATCTTTGGTTCCTTTCCCTTCAGTTTGCCATCGCATCTCGTCCACTTTTTCGTGTCCGAGGTTGATGCTAAATGTGGAATGTATATATCGCTTTTATAGGCCAACATATTGCAGACGTCCAAGAAGTCTTACATTGGCAGTAGATTTGGAGTCGATGATGGATGAAATTGTCCATGTCCTCTTTACCTATGGTAACTGACTGCAAGTCTGATGGGAGATGGGATTGGAATAGAGGAGGAGGGTTAAGGGGAA